TAAGTAACTCTTCCAGGTATGTGCTGGAGCCAACCAGTGTTGTAGGGCAGTGGGCAGTGACACGTGGCTGCGTGGAAACTGGAGTGCTGGAAGCGTGAGCCAGCAGTGTGCTGTCCTGGAATTGCAGGAGAGCACAGCAAGCCGGCTCACTGCTTCTGTGCGAACCTGGTTCTTCTGACGCTTCCGTTTCAAAATGCAACCAAGGTAGTGTTTTAAAATGCCTTGTGACCAGGAGTAGGGAGGAAAAAGCTTTGGGTTGCATTTTGAATTTATGAATAAGGAATATTGTTTAATGTTTAATACTACTTTATGGTTTATAATACAGGATGTAAAAAAATACCATTGGAAAAAGGAGGATGAATTTTTTCCCAAATTTTGAAATCGATGCCTTTGCATTTCCAAAAGTATTTCCAAAAATATTTCAGTATGATTTTTTTTTTTTTCCCAAAGCTTATAGACACCTGTCATTCACTTCCAATGAATCCCCATGTTGGAATGTAAACCCACCCTATCAGATAACATCTGATGACTTATATTTTTTCCTGACACTCCCTGCAATAGCAACACAGAAGGGAGCTCAGTTCCCCTTTGACCATCTTCACCCAACTGGGCCTGATTTCCCTCTGACTGCCGTTGGCCTAAAACAGGTACCCACTCACACACAGGTTGTTTGGCTGATACTGGTTTTCTTCAGGCTGGGCTGAGCATCAGGCTAAAGCACTGTTCTGCTGCCTCTTGTATTCTCTCTGCCGCTTCGACGTGCTCTGGATGGAGAAATGTTTGTTATATAAGTGGTGTTACAGTGGGTTTATTTTCTGCTTCATCCTTCCTTTAGGGGGAAGCAGGGATTGATGGAATGAAAGGAGAGAAGGGTGCCCAGGGTGAAAAAGGAGACAGAGGGCCACTGGGATTACCCGTAAGTATTCAGGAAGCAAGCAGCACTTTCTGAGCCAAACTTGTATCAGCTGTAAAAAGATCCCTCAATAGGAGATGCATGCAGGGATTGGATATGTAAAGTCAAAGAAAGAGATAATCTATAAATAACTGTCTTCGCTTTCTAAACTTACAGCCTCAATTTCTGTACAAAGCCTTTGTCTTTTAAGTCTGTTACATAGATCAGTGATCACTTTAACTCCTCCTGCTTCTGGCAGGATTGGGAAAAACAAGCAATAACTTTCCACTGGGTTCTTTGCGCTTCAGGCCAATGGGGCAAGACCGGAAACAGGAGTCGAAAAGACATGGAAAAGGAAACACCTTCCCAGCAGTTTGTCACCTGGGCCAGGCTTCGTACAAAAGCTTGGTTGTTCTGAATGCATCCAGCTTCTTCACTAGGCAGTAGGTCCCTGTCTCTTCTGCAAAGGAATCGATGCTTTCCCTGACACGGCAGAGGCCTGCTGTGTTCCGTGCTGTGTGGGAACTCGGTCACATTAGACTAGTGTTCACGTACTGCTTTGCTCAGCAAGAAAGAATTCTAGCAGAATTATGAAGATGTTACAGGAGCTTTAGATACAAACCTGAAGACTTTGTGAAGCTCTTAGCTCACAGCTGCTAAAAACCTCTTCACCTACTGTCTGAGCTGACAGCTGATAATGAATTAGTGGTAACTCAGTCCCATCCAGTTGCTCTGCCAACCTCCAAGTCCTCTCCTCATAAAAAGCACTGGGGGCAGAGCTGAATGTACTGCCTGGAAACAAGCACCGCAAAGTGCATCTTGTGTGCTGTGTGACTTTGTCGGCCTGTGTTCGATCACCCAGATCCCTTGTCCTTGCCTTTGGCTGAAATGTGTGTGTCTTCATTTGTAAAATGTTTTCCTCTTTTAGTTGTGCTGTGTAGCAGTTACTTTCTAGGGCCTGGATGCATCTCATCTATCTCTAGGCACTCAAGTGAGCTCATCACAGTATTCACTGTGTCTCTGTGCAGAGCCAGTGAGGAGAAAGCGATGCTTTTGGAAGGTTCACATGCAAAGAATTGTGCCTCAGTGAAGCAGTGAGAAGTAAAAACCTATTTTGCTCTAAGAAGTTCAAATGGAAGCTTTCTGTGTAAAGAGTTATTCCCTCAAGTCTGTGTGGCATCATCCTTGTGACAGTCTGAGCAGAAGATGCCCCAGCAATTATCCTGGCAAGCTTATCAGTGTGGCAGGGGGTGTGCTAGCTGGTTCTCCTACAGAAGTGAGCCCTGTGAGAAACCAGGGTCCCTTGGCTATTCACAACATGCTTCCTGAGCTCTAGAGTGGGGAAGACTGGCTCAGAAGTGTCCTTTTAGAAATGTTTTGTGTTTGGATCAACAATATCAGCTGGCCAACTAGGAAGCACAGTTACTGAGCTGTTAGTAAGATCAGAGAGATATTGTAGACCCTGTATCCCCACCCTCCCCCACCCCCGAGCTACCTAACCCACTTCATAAGCTTTTCCATGCCTGATCCAGTGCATTTTCAGCCTCTCGGACTAAATGTAGTGCCAAACAAGTACTGAAATATTTCAAAGAAAGACTCTGTAAAAATCCCACAGCTGGATCTGCTGCCTTTTCATGTGTGACTTGACATCATGCCAGAATTTCAGCATGTTTCAGCACCGATTGTCTGCAGTAGCCTTGGGCTTCTCCACATGGCCAGCAAGCTGAGGAATTTGTCATACTCAAGTGGAGGAAAACTCAGTATTTGTTATTTATATCCTACCAAAGCTTTCTCCTGGCCACCATCAGAGGCGAGACACTGGGCTAGATGGGCCTTGGGCAGAATCACTGTTAGGTCTTATGGATTAGGAAATTCAGGACAAGAGTCAAGCGGACAGCAAAGTGCCACTTAATCTCAATCTGGTGTAAATCTGCACTGGTGACACAGGAAGATGAGCTACCTGTTTTATAAGCCTCCAAACAACTGGATGTAGAGTGGAGCGAGCCTGCAGCTGGCTAAGCGTGCACCTACAGGACCTGGATTTCTTGGTGGTTCTGCACTGCTTCTAAATGCCTCCGTGACCACAGGCCTCTGAGCCTTGCATCCCATCTCTGTTGCCCAGCCTGCCACAAAGGCAATGCAGGTTTCAACTCCACTGTCACATCGTTCTTTTCATCACCTGTCACAGAACAGCTTCTTTCTCAGAGGTTTTCTTGGTGGCACTGAGGGAAATTTGCCTTCTTAAGGGGATCTGAAAGTTGCAGGTCAAATTGTATGTATTCAGTGTTTCTATGTTTTTGTTGGTTCACTTGTTAAGTTCCATCACCTGTCCTTGAGACCTTAATTTTTGTTTATTGGAAGGGTATGTTTGTCTCAAGTCATTGCTTCACTCACCTCTCCCCTCCCCTCTCCTTTCCCCCTCACCCTCCTCCCCTCTCCTCTTGCCTTGTTTTTGTTAACCCTCCCCCGTCTGTTCAGGGTGCTTCAGGTTTAGACGGCAGGCCTGGACCACCGGTGAGTTCCATTTCTCCATTACCCCTATGTTCCTCCTCCCCAGTATCGTGATTTGTCTCGTCTCTTCCACCAGTCTTGTTTACACCAGGAATAACCTTCTTTTCTCCAAAGCAGGCTTGGGAGGGGGTTTAAACTTAGGCTGAGAAGTGATGTCACACGCTTGTCTTTTTTGATGCTACGAGTCTGTCTGGATCCTGGGATCACAGCCTACTTGTTCCGCTTTCTCTCAATAACAAGATGAATGAAGTCTCTGCATGGTTCCATGACGCTCTGTTCTCCTGTCCTCTTTATCGTGAGGGGTCTCCATCCTGTCGTTCTCCCTGGTAGCCTTGCTTGCCACCTTTTTCCATGACAGTAGCTCTTCAGTTTTGTTTTAGGCATAATAACATCAGTGTGTTTTGTCCTGTGAGCAAAAAGCTTTGTGCGCTGTTTTCACACACAGCACTTAAGGCTTCATTGCCATGGGTTGCAGGTGTGCTTACAGGTATCTTTCCATAGCCCGGTAGGCATCTCGCCACAAGAAGTTGCACCTAAAAAACCTTCCACAAGCAGGACTCGCCCTTCACCTCTCCTCAGCAGAATGCCATGCAACTTCAGCAACTCCGCACACGCTTTCCTTAGTCCCAGATACCTGGGGGTGGGGGCGGTGGGGTGTGTTCTGGTCTAGCGTCTACATCTGAGAGGTAGTGACTTCTAATAGTGGAGCAGGGAGATGCAAGATTCCCACCTCTTGTGGCCAACTCACTGTGAGATGTGAAGGAAATAAACTCCTTGTGCCTAAGCTGCTCAGTCTGTCAAATTCAGAATGGAACAAGCAATGCTAACCTGGTCCTGCAAACCATTCCGCAGTTCTTGGGTGACAGGTGTTAAAGAAGGGCCAAATTATTTTTAATCCCTCTTGGGAAATCAGGCGTCACCCATGTACAATCCATTTGACTATTAAGAAAAAAAAGCAATTTTTCCTCCTCAGCTTAACTGGTAATAATTCAGCTGCTCTCTAACTTCTGAACAGAATCTGAATGGTAGTTTATACGCTCACGTGTTTTGGGAAATTGTAGGTTTAATTTTATAAATGTGCAGGTGAGATCTCAATGTATTTCACAGCACTAAATGATCTTAAAATGACATATACATGCAGGCAATTAAGATTTCCCTGATGTGAACTCCTGTGTGTGAATCTAAGGAGAGCCTGATTTTGCTTGCTTCCTTCACTGCGTTGAAGTTGTGTGCTGCATGAACTACTTCTCCGCTTATATTCTGCAGATCTTAACTTGTCTGAAAAGCTCTCCTGATCCATGTGAGTCATTCTGCCCGCATCAGTGGGGTTACTTTAGTCACTAAGGGTTGCAAGTTCACATTAGAAAGTGCAAGACCCTTTTCCTTAAGGATGTTAGAAAAAGACTTCCCTGTTTTGGAAGCTTCTTCCTAGAAGGCAGTTCATGGGCCTCAAAAGTACCCCTTTATCAAGGCTGTATGAAGGAGTTGTAGCTTAATATCTACATGGTTAGCAAAGTTCTCGCCAATCTAAAAGTATGTGATGTAAGGTTAGGAAGGTAAACACCTATGTATACTGTGTACTGCACGCTGCAAATTCGAAGGCTATTCTTTATCTGGACTGCTGAGTGTGGTCTGGGAGAGTTGTAAGAGACCCTCCAACAAGGAATGCTCCCCAAGTTCAAGGAGTCTAAATAGAGTTGAACGCGCCTGAATCTTTTTCTTATCCAGAAGGACTACTAACTGCTGTATTGCCCACATTAAAGACAAGCTTTGATAGAGTTAATTTCCCAAAGCCCAAGCAAGTCTCAGCAGCACTGGGAAGTAAGTTTGGTGTGATAGTGGGAGATGGCCCCTGTGTCAAAGGCTTAGCAAAAAGGCTGTTTTTTCCTGTTAGCGCCATTCAGAGCCTGGTGGAGTGACATAAATGGCAAAAGGGAACAGAGGGACCGGGACTGAATGATACCCCTTTTAGTTTGCATCTGTGTGTGTACGCACCTGCATTCATCTCTGCAGCATGGTGTCTTTCAGCTTGCATGACGGACTGGCGGCCTGCCAGCAAGTAACCAAACTCTTTCGTTTTTTGCTCAACTCAACTGACTCCAGGGGGGAAAAAGAAAATAAGGAAATAGAGAAAAAGAAAATCGCTTATCATGTATCTAAATGGCCTTTATTCTGCTACAGCTTTCAGCCTTGCCTGATACAAACTAGAGAGAAAAAAATTCCCTCCTGTGGAACTGGTAGAAACGCCTGCTGTAACAATTGCCAAGAGATAGCTTCAAAATTAAAAATAAGGCTCTGTAAAAAGGTGCTGGTGTGATCTAACGTAGCAGTTCCTATGTTCTTCAAATTGCCTATAACGACTGCTTCAAATGCATCACCATGGACACTGAAAGCTGTAGTGGTGCTAGATACTTTTCACCACCAGACTGTCCTTCCCAGCTGTGCTTTTTCCTAAAGGAGCAGCAGTGTCTCCTGGCTTTAATGAGGCCCTAGAATAAAAATGTCCTTTTCCTTCCTATAACTACAGGGTACTCCAGGACCAATTGGGGTTTCGGGACCAGCAGGACCAAAAGGAGAAAGGGTGAGTTTGCTTCAGAACTGACTGATGCTCTGTACCTTTTTTGAAGATGCTACAGCTCTCTGGGATAGGGAAGCTCTAGGTTTTTCTAGAGCTGGAACTACTATCTCCTTGTGCATATAAGACCCTCAGCTGGACCTCTTTGATTTTTGAGTATCTCATCTTTGGGGTTTTGAAGTGCTTTGAAACATGTCCTTTACTTTTCGTCTGTAGTGCTGCTACAGCCACTGCTGTGCTGCCTGTTCGCACTGAACAGGAATGTAACAATTTCTACTCTTTTGTCTCCGTTTCAGGGCAGTAAAGGAGATCCTGGAGTTGTAGGACCAATGGGGCCAGCAGGACTTCCTGTAAGTATGGGAGTACCAGGGATGTGTTATCTACAGTGCCTCTTTCCTTGCTGTGGTTGATATCTTAAGATGCTGCTGTAATACAGCATTTGTAATTTCAATTTCAGCTGAGGTAGGTGTTAAAGAACTAAAGTGACAAGCTTGTGTACACTGTGGGAGCAATAGAAAGAGCTCAGTAGCTTCAGAGCAATGATTCAGAACGAGGTAGATGAAGGTGAAGGGAAACTTCACTCACCTTGGTCCTCAAACTACCAAAAGAAGCTGCATGGGACTCCCAGAATATCTATCTTAATCCGAAATGCTGGTCTTGAGCACATCTGCTCTGTTTACGTTTCCGCAGCTTGGGTGCCTGCCTTCCACCTGTCTGAGGAGGCTCTGTCTCGTCATTGCAGTGACAAAAGCTGCTTTCAGTGAGGTTACTTCCACTGCTTGGGATTACTTTTTGCAAAATGAGGCCAGTGTTGGAATGTAATTATGGAGCTGCTTTGTTGTTTAACACACACACAAAAAGATGTTTGCTCTTTGTTTAAGGGACTGCATTCTATAAGCTAGTTTGGTTTTTATCTAAAGAACTCTTAAAGTAGTAGTAGTAGTTGTGGTGTTACAGCCTGGATGTTCTAATGGAGATGAAGAGGAGGTTGTCTGCTGGAAAAGTTATTTTATTTTTTTTTACCATAGAGCAATTGGTAGAAATGGAAAAAATAAACTCTTGGGCATATCTTCTTCTCTTTGAGTGGGAATGCAACAGGGCCTACTTGTTTTAAAATATTTCTTTTTGTGTTGATGTATTTCAGGGTTTACAAGGTCTACCTGGTGACAAAGGAGTCCGGGTAAGTTACCAGACAAACTTCTTGTATTAAATTACTAATGTCTTCACACAGTGACAGACTGGTTAACTCCTGAGCAACCTCAAGTCGCTAGCATGAAATTCTGTCTGCTAGACCTTCGTATAAGTAACTTTACAAACTCATATTCTAGAAGGTGATACCTGTAGCTCATGTAATCAGCTGGGACATCGTGGTACACATGTCTGAAAGCTATAGGAGGGATTTTCTAATGTGTTCATTGTTGTCATAGCTCTGTTCTCACTGAAGCACGGGACTTCACGTGTAGTAGAGTTAGGCCAACGTGGCATGCTTTAGGAAATCCTGCTTACCTATTTACTGATGTGCGTAGAGATTCCCATGAGAATTAACTGGGGTGGAGCCAGCAAATCTTAGTGCGTTACTTTTAAATTCTCCCTGAAGCATGGAAAAAAAAAGGTTGCCCTCTAGCAAACGAATCCTCCAGAGAGTTTGGAAGACAAAAATTTGGAAAAGATAAATAAAATTTGCCTACCTTAAAGAATCAGACACAAGGCCTCCTCAGGCATTGTCCTGAAGGTATGCGATGATGAAGAGCTGGGTCAAAACCAATAACGGGAATGGCCACTTCTCTGTCGTACCACCTGTGTTACAGAAAGACAAACATTACTGAAAACTGTGTGTTGAGAAGCTCCTTGCTTTTTTGGCCAGGTTTTCCACAACGTAAGGGATTTCTTGCCTGTTAAGGCTCTGAATCTTTTTGATAGAAACAGTTGAGAGCTATAGTTGAATATAAACTATATTTAGAAATATAAATGACTTCTGGATTAGAGTCTTTCTAAGATTACAATTGTATAAATACGTCAAGCGTTTCAGTACAGGACACGTGTATGTCTGTATGCACGTGCTCACACATACACCTTCTCTTCATAAGACTCTGGTATCACCTAAGCTTCTCTGAAAATGTAAAGTTTTACAGTGCATGTGCCCGTGTGGTGATTTCTTTATATGAATTTGGTTTTGATACATAGTGAGTGTTCTCTGTCCTTTATCTGCGACGTAATTCTGACCTTATTGTGCACAGAACGGGCAGTTGTGGAAAGCAGCAGCCAACTGGCATCTTAAACTAGGGGAGAAAGGTTCAAGTTTCATGGGAGCTCCAAAGTTCTCCCCTTTTTTAATCATTGCATTTCTGGCTTTGCTTCTTAACTTTCCTCTTCATTAAGATGCGTTTTGTTTTTTTTTGTGTGGCTTCTAACCAAAAAACAACCTTAACCGAATTCCTAGACTTTTCCAGTTGGTTTGTAAACAAGGTATTTTAAAATAAAAAAGGATCTCTTGCTGGCGGTAGGTGGGCTGATACGATTTCCCTGAGCTCTGGCATAAAAGCAAATGAAAACTGGGAGAAACTGTGCCTCCTTGTAGAGGATGAGTTGTACAGTGTGAGCGGGAAGTTTTGCTGGCCCCTTGAAGCACGCATGCGTTTTGCCTCACTGCAACCAATATTTGGAAATGAAAAAGTGTGAGAAACTTGAGGCTGTAAACGAGCAAGTGCAATATCCTTGCACTAGGCGAGCTGCTAGGAAATACCACTTTTCCCACTGAGTCTTTGTGCAGGGGCTTCCTCTCACTCCTGCTCTCGTTCAAAAGTTGTGAACTGGTCATTCCTCCCTACAGGAATGAAACAGAACGGTTTTGGTAAGGCCTCTTTATACAGCTGTTTTGTCTGAATGCCTCCATCCTGTTGAAGCCATTCTAGACACCTGCAAGTACTATCCAGCAGAACTGGACACAGTGCAGGTTTCCCAGGATTTGCGCTGCAGCCCCGTATCCCCAGCTGAGTGCTCGATCTCCCCTACAGCGGAACATGTGGCTTCTGTGTCAGAACCTCCTCAGAAGTGCGGGACAGTCTCTCCCAAGTTAACTGCTGGCAAAACTATGGCAGTTCAGCCAGGAGACTTCAAAATGAGCATGGAGAAAGCTGTGAAGTGAGAAAGAGAAGGCAACACTCTACTTCAGACCTGTTGCACAGGAGACTGGGATACAATCCTGGCCTCTTTGGAAGTAGGAGATGGGTTCATTTGAAATGCCTCTCTTTTGGACAGCAGCAGTATCCATGGAACTTTAATATGAAAATTTTCAGTGTAGAGCACATTAAAAATGAGAACCCACTTTAAGGTCCCGAATAGTTTGCCAAAATCCTGTTACTTCAGCCAGGGTAGTGCTTTTTAAATGCCAGAGATGCTCCTGCTGCCCTTTGTTTGGTGCAGGAGTATAGCACAGCTGGGCCTGGGGACAGGCAGAGACGGTGCTGTGGCACTCGGTATCAACGGGAACAGGTGGCCTTCCACGTAACCCAGCTGGAAAAGTGTAAACCCTGAACTTGTGCTACCATGCTGACATCTTTGCTGTTACTTTAATGCCTGTGTTTTTTCTCTTGTGTGTATGTGCGTCTTCCTCGCTCCTACAGGTCCACCTTTGTCCCCTTTATCCCTTCCTCCTCTTCCGCCTTTCTTCCTGGTTCCTTCCTCCTTCCTCCAGAGCAACCCATGCCGCGTTTTCCTGGATTATCCTCTCTGTTCCAGTGCTTGGTTCTGGGTGACTTCTCCTCATTGCCTCTCCTCTCCCATCCATTTCTCTTGCCAGCTTTGGGTTTAACACTTTTTTTTTTTTAAAGAAGAAACAGCAACCTGTGCTGTCTGATTTTATCCCTTAATTCCTTTAACCCTCCCCACAAGGACCCTAAATTAAACTCCCTGTGAAGCAGCCCCTTCCCCTGTCTTTATGCTTAGCAGCTTTGAGAATTTCCTCTGTTACACAGAAAGATTTGGTATGGATGTAACTGTCCAATACCTGTGCCATATCTTGCCTTGGCTGACCTGCTGCGGGTGGGATGTGTCCTGCCTTGGAGAGGAGGGGCAGCTGGGCATTCCCTCAGCCCCCTTTGTGGCTGGCTTTCATTGACTAGCGCTGCCCCTCCACAAGAGAGCAAGCTTTCTCTTTGGCCATGATTTTTTTAATTTGTTTCCCCTGCTGCCTGGCTCTGGCATAACTCAACCCGGAGCCTGCGGAGAAATCGTAATATCGAACCGTTGTAAGAATTGCACCTTCCTGGGGTATGTCTGTGCTGCCAAATAAGAGGGCCAGGGACAAGCCACTGCCCTGTGGCCGTGCTGCTTAGGACTAGCCCCTTGTCTAACAGGTTTTCCTGGGGGACCGCTACTTGGAGCATCCCCAAGGACAACCAGGCTGTCGGGGCTGAGTGCTTCCTGCGTTCTCTGGCTCTTTTCTGTTTAGCAATATTGGCACACCCTGGTGCATAAACCACTGTAAGGCTCACGCAAGCAAGCACGCTCGTTCAAGTTTTGCTGCTCTGGGATTCAGAAGTAAATTTACATCTTAAAAAAATAAAACAAACCCCCCTCAATACCCCCCCAAAACCTCCAAAACCTCCCCCAAAAAACCTCACAAAAAACTTCAGCTTGTAAGGAAAAGCTAAAAACACTCCCATGAGTGAGGATTTCTTTAAAAATGAGAATTCAGAGTGGTAAGAAAAGTACGATTAACATGGGGCATCTGTGCCAGCAATGTCTTCCTACCACAGCAGGAGAGCCTGCTTGGGGTCTGCCACAGGTCTCGTCATCTGAGGCATGGAGGTATCTAGATGCCACCCTGGAGCTCCTGTGGCAGAGGAGGGACCCTCCCAGGTAGCTGGAGATTGCGATGAGGTGGCAGAGGAGTGTTTTCCCATCCTGTGAGTCTAGGGTCAGCCAGTTCTCAGAAGATGCCTCTCTCTCTGAATGTACACTGTACTGAATGTATGGGAAGCTGAGAGAAGTAGTCTCGTAACGATGGCACTGAGGGAGGAGGAGGAGGAGTGCTCTGCTGGCTGGCTGTAGGGCTGCCCACAAAGTTCAGAGGCACTTGTAATCCCGTTGATGCAGAGCCCCTACAGTCCCTCAGTGTGGGATTTTGGCAATGGCAAAGTAAGGGTTGGTAGCACCATATGTTGTTTTTCACTTAACATCTCAAAGGGTGATCTCTTTTAAAATGTTTCCTAAATGTTTATCCCTTTTTTTAAACTATAGCTGACATTTGTTTGAAATGGATGATCCTAAAGCTTTTGTGTATTCTTTTTTTCTTGGACTAAACTATTATTTACAGGGGGAGAGGGGCAAGAAAGGCTCTAGAGGGTCTAAAGGGGATAAGGGAGACCAAGGAGCGCCTGGATTAGATGCACCCTGTCCGTTGGTATGTTCTGTTTCATCAAATGTATTGTTTTAAGATTTGTTGATGGGGAAGAAAGAAGGAAATCATAACATAATAATGGTCTCGCAAAAGTACACCACCTCAGATAAGGCCCAGCCTGGTTCCCACTGCAGTCTATGGCAAAGCTGCTTTCTCCAGTGGGGAACCACTGATCCTTTGAGCAATCGGGCTGTTGAGTGACCACGGTTATATTCCTTCCTCTTCCGGAGCTCACAAAGGTTTGGGGTACATGGCGGGTGCCCCATGTGCTGGGAGCCCAGGGCTTTCTCCTCGGCGGATAGAGCCCTGTATCTCCTTTGCTGGTAGTTATGGCTCTTCTCTGGAGATGTTTGATGTCATCGTGTTTACGTAACGGCAAAACCTGAATGCTGTTTTTCTTGCCTTGGAATAACGGCCGGCTGATGCGATCGCCTGAGAGCGACACAGGGTACTCGAGCTGCATTACCCAGAGGGAAAACAAATCTCAGTCACTTTAAATGGGATATGCTCCTGTCAAAACGTGTTGTCTATAAATCTAGATAAACGAATAAATATAGGAATATGAATACATTCTCATCTAAACTCATACGCCGCAGCAAACACTGCTAAAAATCTACAGTACTGCCATAAATCCCGGGAGTACTTGGGGATCATGCATCTAGAAACCCAGCTGCTGGGTTTCCTAGTGAGGACAGGAAGAATGGATGACTTCAGAACGGAGGAAACACCATTCCCATCTTCTCAGATTTAACTCAGAGAAGTATCTCCTGACTCGCAGATTACAGAAAAACAGAAAGGAAACTGCTACTGCTGATCCTGCAGATCAAATGGAAAACACGGGCTGTCTGTGTTCTGGGTATGCAGCAGGGTGCCCTGCGACAGCCCCAGTGGGGCACTCGGCCTCTCCTCCCGTCACCTGGAGGTGACTGGCATTAACTGAAATAACGATAGTGGTTGATTTCATAAACAGGGTCTCCGAGGTTTTAAAGGCGAGAAGGGTGAGCCGGGGTTACCTGGGCTGGACGGCCTGGATGCCCCATGCCCATTGGTATGGCGTACCTTCCCTTTCCTGCATGCTCGTTTGCTTTTTGTACCTTGGTTGTTATTTTCCGATACCTCCGAACAGCTGCATGCCCTAGAACCACCTGGCGATTCCTTCCTCACCTATCTCCATCCTACCTTCCTCACGCTGCTGTTGTCAGGAACAGGCCCTTCCCTTCATGCTATGATTCACAGCTGCTGGCATGAGGAAAAACGTAGTGGGAATGCCAATTTATTTACAACTGCTTTGAGTCTTCCTTTGCCTTCACTTTGACAGCTTTCAGTAGACTAACGTACGAGCAGCAGCAGCAGCCCCTGCCCTGGCTTGGCTTTCCAGCAAGGAGCAGCAATGCCCACCTCCTTCGTTAGCTCAGTTTTTAAGTGCTTGTATGTGGCTAGCACAGCCTGACACCGCGCAGTGCTACCTCAGTCACCCTGTACGTGACGATGATGGAAAATAAGAGTTGTCCTGTTAGCAAGCCTGTGTGATATCTATTAGCTGGGCACTTATCTCCCTCGATTCCTGCTAGATAATTCCTATTTGTGACTCTCCTCAGAAGTCCAAATGGTACCCATAACATCCAAGAAACTTGAATTTGGAATTGCCTGTTTCCCCAGTATCCACCTTATTCACGTATTAAAGGATGAATACTGGAACAGGTTGCCCAGAGAAGTTGCAGGTGCCCCATCCCTGGAAGTGTTCAAGGCCAGGTTGGATGAGGCTTTGAGCAACCTGGTGTAGTGGAGGGTGTCCCTTCCCATGGCAGGGGGGTTGGAACTAGATGATCTTTGAGGTCCCTTCCAACCCAAACCATCCTATGATTCTATGATTATTGTATTAGCACCTCATCTAACCCAACTATTATAGGACAAAGGTATTAAGGAACACTTAACCTCAACTGATTTCTAAGTATCCCATTAAACATCACCAATCTATTAATTTGCTCTGAGATTTTCTGGAGATGCAGCACTCAGGTGAGGTTTTTGCTCCCTACAGCTGTCTCAACAACTCCGTAATACGTTGAAACTTGTTCTCCCCTGCCCTTCCAGCCCCCGTATGGCATGACTTGCTTTGCTTAAGGACAGTTGTTCCAAGCTTTATGCTCACTTCAAGATGTTTGATGCCATTTACAAGGGATGGAATATACCAGTTCAACTAGCTGGAAAAATGTGTCCCAAAGAAAAAAAGCCACATTTTTTTTGGAAGGTTTTCTTAGTTTCCTGAGGAAGCTGCCCCTGAAATTGCCATTGAAAGCCTTTGCTATTTGACCTTTGTGAAAAGCTGACATCAGCCTTCTTCCCAGCGTTCCCTCCTGTGGCTGCTGCCGTCGTCTCTTCGGGGCAGTGTCCGTAACAGTGACCCCTTGCAAAGTCTCAGTTGCTGCTCTCTAAATTCCAGTTAACAAACTCTTCTGCCAGTCCCGCAGGTGAAACCATACCTGCCCAGAATAGTCCACAAAGGAGAAAAACCACTGAGCCATGCGTTTCGCCTCCCACTGATAACAGCCAGTTTTCTATGGAGTAAGTTTTGGCTGAATAAAGCACCGAGTTTCACAGGCTGCAAGGATTCTACCAGTGCCCTGGTAGACTACCTTTCTTTTTTTTGTCTCTGCTCCCAGTCAGGACCCACCCCGCATGGCCGTGTTAGAACGTACACTTCTCTTCATACCTATTTTTGCTAAGGGAAACTTGCCAGAAAATCTGGTGAAATACAGATGCCGTTTTTTTTTTTATAGATAGTGTTCTGGCATGCAAGCTAGCTTGGGAACGTGAATAAGCATGTTTTTTGATCCAACTAGGTTAAAAGCTTAGCATCCAGCTGACGCATCCATGTGTGTAACTTATGGATGCCATGAACTAATGCTTTACACATCTGAGCTATGTGGAAGGAGATACTTGGTACTAATAAGCATGTCGCGTTTCCGTTCTCGGCAAATTCGCCTGCAACAAACACTTCCTTGTGACCCTGGTCTTCCTTTGATCCCTAAGCTGTAACTCCCTGGCCTCCCATTCCTTCACACACCTAACTTCCCATCTCCTCCTGCAAGGCACTACACCAGTCATTCCTACCACCACCAATGTACCAATGGGAACGCCACGATTTACCCAGTAATTAACTCAGTATTTCCACACGGCGGGGGAGAAAATATCACAAGGAGACCACAGTCTAAAAAAATGCATTTGAAAAGCAACATGGTTGTAGCATCATGGCAACGTTCACTTCATCAGTGCCTCGAAAGTGCATCTTCTTTCAGTAATTTATTTCTCAATCTGGTACTGTGCATTTGCCTTTCCATTTGTTTTTTTTTTCCTTCCCCCTTCTCCAATGGGATGATATGCACTGCAGATTTCTCACGCAGTACTTGCAGAAGTGAGAACTGAGTCATTTGGATGAAGAAATGTGCCTGCATTGTGCGTTGTACAATTTCACCCCCCTCTCTTGAGTTTTCCTGAGGAACAGTGACAGCCCACGAATCGGACACGTACACACAGCAGAAATGTTTGACTTTTTGTGTCAGAGATGTAGCTCCTTACGTCTGGATTTGTCTCCCGCTCAAGAGCACCTTATCACTGACATAATTTCCTGTTTTCTCACATCAAATAGGGCTGCACTGAGATGAAATTAGTGGCAGTAATTCACAAAAGCATTTCCCAACCATATGGTCTCAGTCTTTTAGTAGGACAACCCTTAAAGCATCCAACCTTCTTCAACATTAAAAAAAAAAAGATCACATGCCCACCTTGGGATGTGTAGCCCAAGACTTCAAGGTTGCAGAAGTGCCTGGGGATGGGATTTTTGCAGAAATCTCACTGACTTTATTGAGGCAAAAGCCCCCTCTCAGGGAGTCAGCTGAGACATCCTCAACCAGCTCAGGGTCTGCCCAGCTGCTTGCCTTCCTAATTTCCCTGGAGCAGGATCTCCTCCGAGGCAAGAGGGGGCAGCTGGGTGATCTCTCACATGATAAAGCAAACCTTTTAACAAACAGGGCAGAAAAGAAACGGGGCTTTTTTCCAGATGCTACTCAGGACCCAAGGTTAATGCTGCCTCTGGCGTTTGCTTATAACCTCAGTGTTACAGAGTCAAGCCTGAGGACACTGACCAGCCATCTCCTGCTTTCCACAGCCAACTTCCTGCGATATTTTGCTGTATGAATGGGACCTCCTGTGTTCCCTGCTTCCTTCAGGGAAGCCTGGCTAAGCACCCTCCTCAGTGAGGAATGAGAACAAGCCTATGGACCTTGTGTACATAAGTTCCTTGTGTAGCCTGCAGGCAAACCCCCTCTTCAGCCCTGGCCCTTGCTTCAAGCTACGCTGATTATGTCAGCTGGAAGCCCGGGTCACTCCGAAGGGGTGAGGAATATCTTTCAGACTATTCCTCCAGCCCTGGTTCAGACTGTTTGTTGCAGCTGTAATAGTTAACCCACTCCTTCTTTCCTCGGTCTCTGTACTAGTTTCTGTGTCCTAAACTGCTATTTCATCCGTCTTTTTTTGCAGGGGGAAGATGGCCTTCCAGTTCAAGGCTGCTGGAATAAGGTAAAATAAGCCTGGAAATGTGACTCTGCTAAGCTGGCAGTGCTACAGGTTCTGCTGATGATTTTCTATGAGCCTGGCTAAAAGCAAAAGAGATGTGGAGCCGTGCATGGGATTTCCAGGATCATACCCCTGAAAAGCAGCAAGCAAAACTCTTCCTTGTTTTTATATGGCAGTTTAGCTTTATAGGCTGAAAGGGAGAGAATTGTATTTGTGGGTTTTGAGCTGTCTGGCCCCGAGGTGCTCCAATACTTGCATAAAGATTAGATTTCCACCTAGTCGACTCTGTTACCAGGGGCTGGGAACTGGCATTCCCCAGGTAACCTGGGTGCCACGGGAGGCTGGTGGGTGCAGGGCAGAGGCTCATGGCTTGCTTTCAGCAGAGCAAATGAGCTGTGGCTGGGAACCCCTACACGTCCCCTCTGGGCTCTCAGCACCAGACCCCCCCAGCCCTCCCCCTGAGGGGTGGCCTGGCAGCTAGGCTGCAGCCCAGAGCTTGGGGCAGATCTTGCTCCAAGGGAATGGGCTGGTTAGCTCCGTTCTGGGCTGCCATGGAAAGGGGGAGTAAGTACTGCTCCCCTCCACTCTCCTCTCCCCTCTTTGTTTCTGAAGGTTCAGCTGCCTCAGGAGTCCCCTTCAGAGGTTCCCATAGACCCCTCTGCCACTCCTCAGGGTCTAGTCCACCTTCGGTACCTGCTGTGTGTGTTAATGCCAAGTACTAAAGCCACAGTAGTAGGAAGAAAGTGGAGGTAGGGAGTCAGCCCAGATTGAGCCTCCCATCCTCACTAAGTGAAAAGGATCTCTGCTGAGACCCGTCACCATTCATTTTCCTCCTGGAAACCCCAGAGCCAGCTTCCCTAACGCTGTCCCACTGTCCTTCCATCCCACAAAGTGGTCCTTCCCCCTGCTGAGCTGTCACTAACAATTGAATTGTCACTAACACCTGTTTATGTTTTCTTTTGCAGTGATGATTCTAACCCTGGACTGGCCTGTGTGTGTTACTGTACATAGAATATTTATTTTTATACAGTGTTCTTCTCTGAAATGCCAAAAGTTATGCATTTTTACAAATTATCAGAAAGCTGCATATTTTTTGTACAGAAAATACTAGTTCTCCCTTCTTCCCCGTTTGTCAGTTCTCTGTGTAATTCTGTGTCTGCATTACGCTTGTTTTGTCATGGAGTACAGCTGTAATATTTACCTGGGATTTGTGCACATGTGATGAGTATAGGAACTTAATAAATTATTGCATTACAAGTGCCCAAAGAACCCGCCCCGTATGGATTTAAAGGCCACTTTCATTTTTCAAGCTGGAATCATTCAAGACTATTTCAAAACATTATGTATTTTTTATTAAAGTGAAATAGTATGTATTTTGTGGTGAGTAAATTCAGGTATTGCTGAAAAAACTCCCAGTAGCCACTGTACACTGGGAACTCAGAGATTCCATGATTAATAATTACCAGACAAGGTCTGTTTCTCGATCAGATCCGGACAGCCAAGTGCCCCCCACCAGCTCCTCTGGAGGCTGCTCCTTGGCCACGCAGGAACGGTAACACCTTCCCCAGGAGCTGTGGAGTCAGCACGTACAAGGAGAATCTCTAAATGTCCTGCCTGTGGCTCAAACAGAGCCTCTCTCATGAGCTGGAAATAATAATAAATAAAAATAAAATGGAGCACCTCCCGTGAACTGGAATAACCCTCACGACAACAAACCCCAGTCGGCGAGAAATTCTAACATCTTTCCGAATTATAGGCCTGCAAGTAGCTTAATTAAAGCCTCATTTAAAATTAAGCATATGGCAGAATATCTCGATGATATCCTAATGAATGTTCATTAGATAAATCAATCCACATGGCTTTTTTAAATGTTAACCAAAGGTCGCATGCAAATTTGCAGAATGTGTCGTTATAATTTGCATACGCACATCTTAATTATCCTTCTTGACCTACCTTTGTTAATGTCTCAAGTCTAAACTACCCAGCAAGGAAAATTATACCGTCAGACTAAAGTGAACATCACAATATACGTTTCTTAGCAAATGAGCAAAGAAGTGGAAGCCTAAATCCATTCCCTAAAACATGTCCACTTTCCTCGGACCTTCACGTAAAGGGGAAAGACAGTTTGCAACCCCGAAGTTTCAGGGGGATGGACAGAAGCTCTCAGCATTTAACGATCCCAGAGGAGAAAGACAAGTGGCAATTCATTAGTTAGACTGATCCACCAAAGTCCTGCTCTTTGTGTGATGTTACCACTAAAAAGGACTCCAGCACCATCTCCCACAGCATCGCTGTGTAGTTTTACCACCAGAGTTCCTGCGGTGCTGTACATGTGGATCACGGGCTGCCTTCACAACAGCTGCTCCTGGCTGCAGCTGGGCCAGCTGAAGTGGTCACCACCATGACCACCTCCTATATACTCAGCTGTTCAACCTCTACACTCAACTATTCATCTGTTTACAGACTATGAATTAGTTATTTTTTCCAACCGATTCCATGCAGCTATTTAGCCCCATCAGAGTAAAATGACGGAGTAAGAGACGTGCTTCTCTTGTACGTGGAGGAAAAGGCCTGCCAGGGGCTGCCCAAGGAACTGAGACTATGCCTTGACTGCTGCAATCCATTTGTCACCTCACCCTTTCAGAAATTTTTTGACTTTCATCTAAAAGTCCTGCAGGCTGTTCCCAACCCAGTTGGGAAGTTAGGAAGTTCCTTGCAACTTTCAACCTAACCAGATTCATGATATTTACAACCATTTCTTCTCATGCCAACATCGTCCTTGGGATGAAGCTTTCCCACGTATGATGTTTTCATGAGTTGCTTGGGGTACTGGAGCTGAAACGGTACAGAAAGAAAAGGAACTGCAGAGCAGCAGTCTGTTCTCTCAGTAGATACCTAGAACCTGCTCTAGAACCACCAAGTGATCTAGAATTTGGTCTAGACCCAAGAAGTTATCTAGAACCTGATCTGGAACCAATAAGTGATCTAGAGCATGCTCTAGAACCATACACTGAGCTAGAACCCTGTCTAGAGCCCTCTCGCTACCACCAACTCCACAATTCATCCCTGATCTTGGGAACAACTGCACCAACACCACCCTAGATGAAAACCAGACTCGAAGACATCTGGACCCAGACTCTAGGGCCCCAGGTCAACAGCAAGCACATCTCTTTCTCCTTTTCAAGCAAAGGGATTGGGAAATAGGCAGATGAATGCTGATATTGGCTGCCAGAAAAGTCAGCAGCGCCGCCCCAACATTGGTGGTAACTATTTCACCAGGAAATATCCACAGGCTGTAGAAAACTGGATAAAGGCAAAAGGCTCTATATTCCTCAGGAGAACAACTCCACCACGTATTTAGCTACATTTATAAATAATTAGAACCGACGTGACTTGAAGTTAGAATTTTAAGTCACTTTTGGGTTTTTTTCATATTTTAGAGCAAGTTTTTAATTTTATCCTCAAGAGAAGGACTGGTAACTCTTGAGTCTCCAGTTTCCCATGGTAGTTAGGAAAACATTGCTTTGACTGGGCATTCTGCAGTACTATAAGCCAAATCACCAGGACAATTTAGAAGATTATTCTTAATTTTCCTTGGGAAGTTCAATGTTTCTATAAACCTTTCATTTAGTCATAAGATAAGGTTTATCCAGTTGCACTCCTGGGGCACTTCAGCATTACAAATTCCACACTACACTGAGGAGAAAGTAACAGTGTCAAAAAGCCTGACAGCATTGACAACCTATTCTTGATATTCAAGCACCAGCAGACGATCTCACATCATTAATTAGGAGGGATTGCCAGGAAAAGTCAGAAATGTCTTTTGAACCCAAATCGATGTTTTTACCAAATAATGTTTTGTTAAATAGAAACATGCTGATGTCTCATACGGCTAAACACATCCAGAATTTTTCACTTTCTGCAAAGGATGCAGGTACAGTCACGAAATAACATCCTCGACAACGTGCCCAGTTTCAAGTACATCACAGAGCACAAATTTATTACAACAAAGCTTTTGTTTTGAAATTAATTCATGCTTTTACTAAAGTTAGGCTTTTCAACCGAATTAAGGAGATGGAATATTTTCTAGTAGCTCTCCAAGCATTTTTGTAAGGTTTCTTTCTCTCTTTTCAACCACTTAATCCCATGCTTGCATGGGGTTGGATAACCTTCCTCATGGCATGTACTGCAGAATGTCCAAATTCACAGCAGACGCCACAGAGTAATTGACACAGCAGCATGCACGAGAACATAAAAATGTGAGGTACATTCCAAAGAATCTGTGCTTCCACTGGATGATAGTGCATGCCGGGGTGCACACCAGTAATTAGAAAGACTCAACTTCTTGCAAAATATTAATGCTGCCTTGGTATGAAAATGCAACAAACTAAAGAAGCTTCTAGAACAGAAATCAAATCTTAGTGGCATTAAACCACAGTTGTTGTCTTAAAAAACAAAACAAAGCAAAACAAAACAATAACAACAAAAAAACCCACAAAACAAACAAAAAATCACTTTGTGCCATATATACATAAAATCAGTATCCAAATCCAGCTCCTCTTTTCTTTTATAAGAGAACCAATAGGCACAAAATGGCCTTTCCAGCCAGGACAGAGTGCCGAATCCTTGAGAATCACCTTCTGAGGGTTCCTTTGTAAGCCTCGACACGAGAGAAGCAGAGCTGCTGAAGGCAAATCAGGAGCTACACTGAGAGCTCAACAGAAGGTGCTAAAAGTTGGAGACCACAAAAAGCTTTCCTAATCTGTCCGCAGTTTAAAACTGGGAGGATGAAAAAAGTGAGTTTAAGCACATTCTGGTCTCTTCCATTCATCTTAACTCTTTCTCTGGGACTTTGCCTCTTTTAGATTTTGGAGCCTGGGGATATTTGCAGGGAATGCTTTTGGTGAGGCAATTAAAATTTTTCAGATTAAAAAGTAAAAAAGTATCAGCCATTTTGGGTGACTCAGTTTGCCAGATTTTAGACTAGAACATTCATTTCTTTC